CCTTCTGTGTTATTCAGATGATGTGTTTCTATTGTAAACTGGTTGGGGGATTTATTTCAAAACTAGATGCATCACTATGAATTTCAGCAGTGTTTTCTTTCACATTTGTGATCTCTGTCATCAAAGAAAGATTTAGCCCTGCACTCCATGTTTTCGGTCAAGGTCGCTTCCCTCGCCACATTGGTGACCTGTCCGGGGTGTATCCTGCCTCTCCCCGATGACAGCTGGGATAGGCCTGAGCCCCCTCCGCCCGGCCCCACCCATTACGGCCCTGAAATTGAGAAGCGGAATAAAATGGATGATGGATGGATCGATTACGGGCTGTGGAGAATGATAAATCAGATTTGGACATGCTTTTTACATTATTACACTGAAAATGATTTTCCGAGCTTCTTTTAAATCTGAGTGGCGCATCTTTGAGTGTTTTAGCTTAGCTGAGGATGGACTTTTTACAATTAATATCATTTCTTTGATGAATGGTAGATGTCTTTCTAACCAAGCAAAGAAACTGTTTTATCAAATTGCTAATCAAATAATAATTGTTTTCTTTTTCAACTTTTTTTTTAAACACGCTGAAAGTAGCAACTAGAAACAAAGTATCGATCCTATCGCACTAATCTGATATCAATACCAGCATTAATGTCGATACTATTGATATTTGATTTGATGTCTATCAGTAATATTTTAAGCTTCTTTGCTCTTCTACTTCTAATATCTAATGATTTATTTTACGTTTATTGAACAGCTTTAGTTAGTTTCAGATTTCTAAACTATAAATTAAGTACAGATGACACCACATAATGATTTCTGAGACTACACCCATCTTCATCATCAGCTCTACTTTTTTTAAAATCTTGACAACCGCAGCTGTAAAGTTTCCTAAATGCTTCTTGCAAACTTGTGACGCAATCGTAATCTGTCAAAATCTGACCACAGACGAGCAGAAAGAAACAAACACAGGAACAAGCAAAGAAATACCACACACACACACACACACACTCTATAGCACTCTGCGTAAAAGATTACTATCAGATTAATGGTACCCAGCATAATCTAGAGTTACTGAAACAGGCCCTACAACTTTCAGTATCACTGACGATTACTCATTTATCGTCACTAAAGAAAAAAGAAAATTGAGGCATGAAGGTATTTCTGGCTTTCATTTAAGACATCATGATTCATCTTAACTTTCTTTGTCCACCCATCTGCATGCAGTCAAACACATGGCAAAAAATTTTATTGTTTGGGTCACAATGCACACGTATTCTACACCATATCGGTTATAGCCAGAAATTTGTTACTTAAACTTCTAGTTTTTTTGTATCTCTTATTTTGTGCACCAAATATTGATCCTAATACGTTAAAAACAAAGTAAACCTCTCTGTCTGTTTTGATAACAGATTTTTTCATTCATTCATTTTCCACAGAAGTCCCGTCGGCCCATATGTATCTACTTTATTGGATCTCCATATACTCTTTTGACTAAATTAAATTAGATATAAATGATGAATGTCCACCCAGCAAAATATCGTCCACAGGGTTGAATTCAAATTAAATACTGCTGAATACTGTATGTGGGTAAGATGATGTGTTACAGCATGAGCAACAGTTAAAAATTAAGTCCATCTGTTCCCTGAAATTAAGATGGCAGTGTTTGAATTTACAGTGACTGAAAAACAAATGAGTTTTTCTCCACTTAATCTCAATTACCGTACGTCGAGGCTCAGAAGAGGCCCTCTTTGCTCATCACTTCTGTGTGGAAGTGACACAGAAGAAGAGGGATGGAGTGGAGAGATAGCCACTGTCTTTTTCCGTCAGTGTCGGAGTGGTGCTAATGACTTCACCCTCTGCGTTTTAGTTGCCAAGTGTTTGAACAGGAGTCATTTGTTTCAGCAGGACAGTGTAGGAAGGGGAGAGCAACGAGGAGGTGGCGCTGATGGATGGCGGCAGTATGAAAGGATGAGCCTGATTTACCGAAGGGAGGGGAGGCTTTTGTGACTCACAGGGCCCTAAGGTAGGGCTAGTAAACAAACCTGCCAGTGGAGGTGCATGGTAGGTAGCTGCTGTATCCATGGTGACCATCCTTCACACTCAGATGTTTCCCGGGAAAATGAACTCATGTTTTGGACACAAACACATTTGCCGCCCGTTATGGGCTTAGCATTTTACAACATTTAGCTTAAAACCTTTTATGAAAGCCTAATCTGCCTGTTGACACACTTGTAAATCTATTCATCTTTAAACAACAGTCTAACATTTTAGGATAACACTAGAGCTTATTGGATTGTTGACTTTATACAAGAAATTTCCTGATCTTTAAAATTTAAATCAAAGCTTTTGTCTCGTTTATGTAAATAGGTTAGCTTGACATGACTTCCAGAGATGCTACCAAAATAGATGCTGAAATCTGATATTTCCTGTAATGTCTGTTGATGCCACTCTCTTGAATGGCAAACATAGCACTACATGATTGTTTAATCTTTAAACAGTAACTGTATGTGTACGTGTTCATTTAGTATATTTTGAATGAGCCTGGCTTGCAGTTTTTTGTCTTTCTAGCCTTTATGCTAAGCTAACTGGCCACTGGATATAGCTATATCCATCAGATAGGATGATGGTCACATCTCAAAATAGGAGTTTTTATTTTTTAGATTCACATAGACAAGAAGTTTAATGCTACTTTCATATGGGTATTCTAACTATAAACTGCAACGTACAGCTGGGTAGCCTAGCATAGGATGGGAAACATAAACAGCTAGCCTCTGTTTAAACAGCAAAATCCACCTTGTAGAACCTCCAAAGTTCATTAAAGTACTTTAATCCATTTTTAAAGATTCACAAAGGAAGCAAAATGTAAAATAAAACACAAGGTGACATTTTGTGTGAGGCAATTTCTCTCCCTGGCAAGGTGGGAAGAACTAAAGCAAACCGGCTGCTGCCTGCAGCTACGTTTTCTACGGTTTTGGAGTTTTCCCAGTTTTCCCAGAAAAGGCTTTCAGTTCTTAGAGTCTCCTGTGTACGTGGCCGTGGCAACAGAAAATGAAACAGAGGTTAACTGGTGGGAATAAACCTCATAAAAATACATTAAAAACAGCTGTTTAGCGTCCATTCTTCTTATTTTTAATTTCCAGGTTCTTGAGTCTATTTCAAGTTCAGGCCAATTTTGAAACGAGTGGTCATAGGAAACTTTGATTGTGTGTGTTTTTTTAATATAAAATGAAAACCTCTTTTGAAAAACCTGGATGTAGCCTTGAACTTTGTATGGAAAAAAAATGTAATGGATTTGAATTATACTGTGGACGTCAGTGGATTTAGGACAAAAATATTTCAGTTGTATGTGTTTTACATGTCTGTGCATACTGCTAATACTGTCTGCCTTTTATGTGCCACTTGGACCTTTAATCTGACTCTTGTGTTTGTGACTAGATCTGACATTTCCTCTGGTGATTAATGAATGTATTTATGCATCTATCCACCTTCAGTCTGGTTTTAAGGAACTGATCGTGGACTTCAGGAAGACCAGGAAACACTTGACCCCTGTTTCAATCCAGGGGGTCAGTGTTGACATTGTGGAGGACTATAAATACCTTGGAGTACACATTGACAATAAACTGGACTGGGCTAAAAACACCACAGCACTTTACAGGAAGGGCCAGAGTCGTCTCTATTTTTTGAGGCGACTGAGGTCCTTCAACATATGCCAGAAAATGCTCAGGATTTTCTATGAGTCTGTTGTGGCCAGTGCGATCCTCTATGCTGTTGCATGCTGGGGGAGCAGGCTGAGGCTCGCAGATGCCAACAGACTTAATAAACTAATCCGTAAGGCCAGCAATGTTGTGGGGATGGAGCTGGACTCCCTCAAGGTGGTGTCGGAGAGGCGGATGCTGTCCAAGATAAAGACAATGTTGGATAACACCTCCCACCCACTCCATGACATGCTGGTCAGTCACAGGAGCACGTTCAGTGAGAGACTGAGATTACCGAAAAGCACCACTGAACGACACAGGAAATCTTTCCTGCCTGTGGCCATCTCCCTGTACAACGCATCCACTTAACACACTGGTTACTGCTACAACTGCACATGTTTCTTTTCCAGCTATTTATTTATGAGTGACTTATGTATATATTGTACTATTCTTAGTTAGCATATTGTCTGTCTTGTCTTAATGTTGGTTTATAATGGAGCACTGTAACAAAAAATAATTTCCCCCAGGGATCAATAAAGTATTCTGATTCTGATTTTACACAAACATACGCTTTTTACATATCATCTATTAACTGTTACCTCAGAGAAAATGAGGGGTCATCTTGCCACCTATCTGTGAAGTGGAACAAGGCAACTGTAAGTCATTACGATTACAGTAAGCACGAACTAGCCTTCTACTCTCTTTTTCCTACTGTGACTAACAAACTCCACCATCTCTACAAATGAATTTCCTCTAGAACAAGTTCCTTTCTCTCATGATTTTTTTATTCAATGCATTTACTTTTCCATACAGTACTCCAGATACTTCAAAAAAATACAATGTAAAAAATAAAATAGGCAAATAAATACAAAACATACAGTTTTCAATAATCAGCAAACTTTAGCTTCGTAAACATTTATTTTCAATAAATAACGAATAAATAAGCATTAATGCTACACAGCAGTATCTCTCCTAGTGGTACTTTTGTTGTGCAACTCATATCAGAATTTTTTTAGTATCGCCTTCATGCTGTCTTTCATCCAGTCTTTTATGCACAGTACACGTTTGCCCTTAAGAGGCAGACATTGCCTGCAGGTCAGTTCATCCTCACAGCCTCGCAACTTCCGCCTCTCACTCCGATGTGGAATCTCTGGACGTCTCCAGTCTCTAAAGTTATTCCACAACCGGGCACAAAAACTCCTCGGACTGAGGTATTTATTCCGTCCAAAACTTGACAGTTTCCACTGCGTGTCTGTCAGCTTATGTCCTTTTGAAGAGTCATCGCATTGTAGGGCAGTGTTTTATCATTTTTTATCTTCCAGTCTTTTAGCCCGTCTTGGTTTTCCTGGTGAGCTCCAGGTATGTTGAGGATTTGAGGAAGCGAGGGTAGCAGTCTTTCTCCATCAGGGTGTAGATTTTGGATTGGGCCACATTGAAACAGGACTGGCTGGGCTGCTCCATGTTCTCTTTGGTGATTGCTTTGGTTTCATGGTCGAGATTTACCTGTAGACGGGACAAGGGAAAACAGTCAATTGATTATCAATACTTAACAACAAGATAAGAGAAACCAGCAGTTTGATAGAGTGTGTCTAGTTCTGCTTATCAGATATTTACCTCACGGGGTGCGTCGGAGCCGATGAACTCATCATAGATTTTCTTTGCCTTGCTAGCTAGTTTTGAAGGCTTAGTTGTTTTGTAGTCTTCACATGCCAAGTAAAAGGCAACGTTTTCCTCACTGAACTCTGTCACCAGGAATGCTCTGAAAAGACACAGCCCATCTGGAGAAAGGAGAAAGAGAAGAGAAAGAGTTAACATCTCATAGAAAGCTCAAAACTTATTTACATTTACTTCTGTGAGTGATCTGGTGGACTTACTTGGGCTGGTCAACAGATTGTCAAATGATTCCTTCCATTTAAGAGGCTCCTCAACATTAAACCTGCAGAAGCAGAGACAAAGTAGTTAGGAAATGTTCCCACAGTATCCAGGATTCACATGAACTCAACTGAAGTGCCGAAAAAGAGATGCTGAATGAATGTCTTACCTCAGTTTGTCGCTTTTCTTTGAGTGCCCAGTGATGCTGTCTGACTTCTGTAGCAAACTCCCAAACAGAGCTTTCAGCTCTTTTGCCCTGTTAAAAAAGGAGGAAAAGTTAGAGTGAGATTAATCCATCCTGTATTTTCTACAGATGACAACATCATAATCTCTTGTTTAAAAAAGAAAAATCTGATATAACATCCTCACATATCTAACCTTTCGAGGCAGGTGATAGGCAGCGAGTCGCGTCCTCTGCACATGATGAGTCGTATGTGGTTCACAGAGCCGTCTTCCTTGTTCTAAGTGAATGAGCTCTCAGCTTGTCTGCTGTCTGTGTGGGAGTGTGACTTCTTATAGGTTTTTCCACTCTGTGACATCATGCCTCTTAGCCAATGAAATGAGATGTGGGTAGATGAGGAGACTCCTCCACTCAGATTTTTCCTCCTGGCTTTACTTCCTCAGAAATGAGCAACGTTTGTGACTGAATTACTGCCCAACACTCCGTGGTCATCCAGGGTGTGAGAATGCGTCTGCGTGGGGTGAAGGGCAGTGTGTTAATGCATTTCAATGGTTGTAAAGGAGAACCAGACATTCTCACAAGGACAGAAGATCCCCTAAAGTGAGAACATTTTGACAGTGTTGATTTTTGGGTCAACAGGCCCTCCATACGTAAAAGGCTGCCCTTCGGTGCTTTCCAAAATCTGGACTGAATTCGTGTCCGTTACTTGAGTAAGGTACAAAACAATATATCGGTTTATTATCAGTGAAAAAACAGGCTTGTTTATTTATAATCTAATTTTACAGGTTTTTACAGAACAACATGAGCTTTGTCTGTTTATTAGAGACAAAAAGTATACAGCAATATTTTCATCAAAAATTACTTATGCATAATTGAAATTCTTTTTCATGACTACTAATTTTTAGCTTTTATTACTGCGTCTTGTGAACCAGTTTATTAGGTACACCTGGCTGCTGTTACTGCAGATTTGTTAAGATAAACTAGAGACGGTTGTGTGTAAACATCACAGGAGATCAACAGTTTCTGAGATGCTCAAGAACAGCCCATTTAGCACAAACAACCATGCCACATTCAGAGTCACCCAACTCGCCTTTCTTGCCCATTCTGATGCTCAGTTTTTGTCTAGTGACTGGTGATTGTTAACTGGTAACAAGCAGTTGAACAGCTGTACCTAATGAAGTGGCAAACAAGTATATGTTTACATATACAAAATATTCAGTATCTAGATATCAAATATAAGCGGACTGCAAGTAAAATAAGTAAAAAGTACACTATATGAGATAAATAAGGACCTCCCCCCCCCCAATTAATTACTCTCATAGTTTATGCTTTGACTTTAGCTTTCTAAGCTTTTTAAACATACATGTGATACGTTCTCTGTCCAGGATAGAATTGGGGGGGAATTGTTTTGTCAGATATCAGTATAGAGTATAACTGAGTGAAATGACCCCAATAATTGGAGGCAAGTAAAAGAAGACCAAGACAAGTACCTATAGTGTCTGCCAGGTGAGGGTTAGGCTTTTGATTATTAATGGGAAAATAGATAAAGAATCAATTATAAAACAGGAAAAATAAACTAAAGCGTATAATAAAAAACGTGTAAATGGTTTCAGTACTAAAAATACAAAAAACAAAAAGCAAAAGATTTCTCCTCACAGTTATATAAAATAACAACAATTGTTCCTTGGGACCAAAAGTCCCATATGTATGTCTTTATGCACTTCATTATCTTTTCTCGATGGAGAAATCATTTAGCTTCAGCCTGTGTCATAGAAAAAACACGCCGTCTGCACTTCCAGCCTTGCCTGTCTTTTCTTACCAGGACCTGACTAAACAGAGGTAATTGTCTCCATATTTAGCCCCAGGGTCGAGAAAAAGGTTGGTTATTCAATCCGAGAAATCTATTTTTGGACTGGTAAGGGAGCCAGCAAACAGTAAACTCCACTAATAGCTCATTTCTCATTGAGTTTAACTAAATGGACAGGAAGGGGAAAGCAGCCAGCCGGACATGAAGGCAGAAAGTTCACTGATAGTGTCTGAGCCACCTTCCTCTGGCGGCAGCCACAAACAATACTTTCCCTGTAACGGGCCTACACTAATGAGCTTCTCTTCTGCTTGTTCCAGTGAAATACAAGCTACGTTCCTGCAAGGAAAATGTACAAAGATAAGGCAGAGCGACTGCTTCATCTCCTTTTTGGTGCTGTAGGAAAGCAGCATTTAGTCATCTTTAAGAACGAGTGCAAAAATGTATCAAGTGTTGCGATTACTACTAGAGAGTCTGCTTGGTTACAAGTAATAACTTTTTTCCACATACTTCTCCCTTTCTCTTTTAGCCCAGGAGGAATCTAATGAGAATAAATACAGTGAAATAGAGACTTAAAGGCAGAGAGATAATAATGAACTGAAAGTTACTCTTTCTGTTGAAAGGGAGTTTTTCCTTCCACTCTCACCAAGTGCTTCGCCAACGATCTTTAGCTAACAATATAAAGAGTCTTGAAGCGACTGATGTTGCGCTATATAAATAAAATTGAACTGAACTGAATTAAGCCTTTTCAGTCACTGTGAACTTGTCTTAAATTCACAGCGCTGAGGTGGAGCTCAGTGCCTCGCAGTCTCACTCTTGGGTCAGTGGTTTCATCATGTTCTTTAGCTGACCTGCTGGAGCCTTTTGTATGTGATGTGATGCAGTGGTGATATATGGTACTGTAGCTTAGAAGACTTTTCAAAATGCATCAAATACATTCAGCAGTATTGGATCTACAATGTGCTTTGTGTTACCTTAGTTCAAGGTAGTGATTACTCTTTAATGTTACCTGCCTACATGTATATCCTTATGTAACCCTTTGCATCCTTTTGTGTCTCTCCTTTTTGTAAACAGACAGTTCACGATATGAAATGATTCTCCATCAGTGACACAAGAGATGATACAATTGATGTTATATCACTGAAAACTCAGAAGTTATACAAGGCCTGGATGTGTCCCTGCACCTATTAAAGTCCAGTGACTCAGACACACAGAGGGCCTGATCTGATCTGAACTTCTTGCATCTGTATGCGCGTCGTGTTGTGATTATTGCTGTTGATGTTGTGTGGGTCAAACAACGGTGGCACACACACACACACACACACACACACACACACACACACACACACACACACACACACACACACACAGGATGATAGAAAAGGGCACACAGATATTACAGTCAACAGCGTGATAAAATTAATGGGCCATAAACTTGTGCAAAAACTGGGTCATTTAAAGAATATTTGATTTTATGAAACCTGTCTTGTTCCTCACCATTCATCTTTCACAGTCAGCAACTCTGCCCCAGTTAGGTCTATTGTTTAGGAAGAAAAGCATATGATTTGGTGCAATATTAAAGCCTTTGTGCTTGAAAAATATAATAAGAATATTCTGGTCAAGGCAAGATGAGGAGACTATCCGAGTGTGTCAATTTACTGGCAGACTAAAATAATATGACACACTTATTAATGATTGAAATTTTAGACAAAATGCACTTTATTTTGCATGTATTAGACCCCAGTTCAGCAAATTTCCCAGTAAGATAAATCAGCATATGACATAAATAGTACTCATTGTTTCACTATAAAACCTTTAAAACCATTCATATGAGTTACCTACCCGAAACACATTGTGTAGAGTGTTCACAGCAGAGCATTTAGTATCTACAAAGATGTTTTTCTTAAGAGCTGAAGGAAACCAAACACGAAAGTCATAGAAAGGTCAACTGGATGGTCCTCAGGTGGGCACCACCGTAATGTCAAATAAGTGAATTTTAATTTAAAGTGTAACTGTTTGCGAACCAGTCTACTATCTCAGCTCCATATACTCTGGATGATTCTGGTAACACCTACTGGTTATCTGTGCAGCTGATGCTTTAAGCTGCAGGTCCCAGAATGCAAAGACCAGAACAACAGTGACAGAGGAGCTAATTTTGAGCTGATCTTGAGCACAATTTGTGTGTATTGCGGACAGACGAGCGGACGCCTTGCTATGGTACATTCTTATCAAAGTGTAGAGATAATAAATGCTAAATACTATATGATATATATATGAAATTTACAAGATCATGCATACACACTGACCTTCTGTAATTAAGGCCCCAGTCAACCGGCTTTAGTGAACCCCCCTGGCAACCATCTTCACTAGGGAAAAGTTAGCAGGTTGCTGGAGGTCGCTGGTAAAGAGGATTGTAAAGAGGCCGCACTGTCACCTGTAGCTCGCATGTTATGCAGCGACTCATCTGCGAACAGTTGCACACGTCTCGCTAAGCAGTTGAGAAACTTAAGGGTCCAACGCAAATCGGAGACGACTGACTTTTAGAACAAACAAACAACCCATTTTTCGAAATGGGTTGTTTGCAGCAGTAAGCAGTGTGAAATTTACACGTTCATTGTGGAAGTAGAAGAAGACAAAATCCATCTCATTTGACAAGTCCACTTCTGGAGACACAAACAAGAGAAACTGCTTAACAGAAAACTCGTGTACATAAGTAACAGGAGCTGTCAACTCTGCAAGCAAAAAGACTTTGGAGATAAAAAAAAATAAATGGTTGTACAAATATCAGACACATAAAGAAGTGTCAGAAGAAGAGGATTTACTAAAGAAAAAAGTCTAGAATGATAATAAGAAATGCATTCTGTGTCAAACTGACGGTTTGGTTTTATGTTAATCTCTGTCTCGCTTTATTTTTCATTTCCTCCCTCACCATATCAGGCTTGCTTTGTTTTCTAAAGCATTTATTTTCTAAGATTAATCACATCTGTCATGTTGTTGTGAAGCTTTGTTGTACTTTCTGCTTGTCTATCTGCACTTTATAGCCCCCCACTATATGTACAACATCGTTAAACAACTGAAGAAGCTTCTCGAAAGAGCTTTTCTTTCTAAGCTCCTCAGACTATGATGACCTGGATGACTGAGAACCTTCACAGACAAGATCCTTGTTAAACAGCATTTTAGCGTAAATAGATTCTATACGCAGTTAATTTCTTCTTAATATCCAAAGATGGACTTGCACCTGTGTACAGCATTGCTGACTTGACACCGGCCTAAATTACTAATATACTGTATATTAGTGACTGTCAGTGTAGTTTGGTGAAAATGAGAGTTAAATGTATGCTCCTCCTTTGAAGTTCTGTCATAGACTTGTATATGTTGGTGAAAAAAATGCTAATTTCCCTTTAAGATCAATAAAAATAAATCACTCCAAAGCTTTTAACTGTCAGAGAATGCAAATATAACTCCACTGTTAAGAAGGTTCCCATGCTCATCTGTTGAGTCTAGTATAAATATGCCAAATTT